TATTGAAATCCATTCTAGACTTTATGTACTTGTTAATTTCTTATATTTTTATCTTCCTAAAATGAATTGAAATGATTAATAAAAAAGGCCAAGGAAGGATGCATTCTATATATCAAAGAATGAGAACGTTATAAATAAATGCCTTTTGATAAATTAAGGTTTAGATCTATGCCATCATTATTGTTTTAAATTGAGTACAACTATGAGTCATAAATAGACCAACGATTTAAGTAATTTAGTGATAATCTCTTTTTACTAAAAGCAAGAGATCTTGCGTTCGACTCGTATGACATGCAGTTGGGACGAGATAAAGGATTGGAAAGGGTTGCCTCTTCTTGTGCAACCAACATCAAAAAAAAAAAAAAAATTGAGTCATAAAATAGAATACTAACTAGATTTTCACCTATGTTTTTCATCAATTAAGTGAAAAAAACATAATCATCTTGAAAATCCTTAATTTTACGTAGATACAAAAGTTGTGACCATCAAGAATTGAGAGAAAATCCAAGTTTGTGGCTCTTTACCAATGCAACTCAAAAGAAAATAACCCCCTCTACTTTTTTTGCACGTATTGTTTTAATTTGATCTAGTTAACAGTTAGAAGTTCTCACATAAAATTGACAAAAGATCTAATTGAGTCTTGGTCATGGCACTATGATCCAAGTCGTCGCTAACACCTTGGTGTTCAAGTTGTTAAATGGCTTCTTACCTTCCTTTTTTTTTCCTGATGTTCAAGTCTTTGTCAAGTCTTCGTCAATCCCTTGATGTCTCTATCAATACTTTATATGTGTTTAATTTTCAAAGTCACTCAAACTTTGCTAAAAATGAATAGATGAGGTTTAGTGTATATTATCCTCAAGAAAATATAAAGCTGAAATGAAAGAGAAGATTTTTGTAATAATATGTAGATCTTAATTTGTCACACACATAATTTTTTGACTAGAACTATCACTAATTAAAAGCTAATGTAGTCAGAGTAACTGTTAGCTTTTGGAAGGTTGGTAGTAGCATGATGTGATGATCCCGTATCAAAGAAGGAACAATCCAATTCTCGTTTGAAGTATTTAACGATGCAACAAATATATTGAGGTATCATTTCCGTGGCTTGAGTTTCGAATTCTAGACAGTTTTTTACATAACTTTCCTATTGCATGACTAAACGGTTCGGCACCTTTGTATACCGTTGTTGTATTAATTCTTGTTAGAAGTGTATTAATTATATTTTTATTTACAAAAATATAGTCTTTTTAATGTGTATTAATTCTTGTTAGAAGTGTATTAATTATATTTTTATTTACAAAAATAGTCTTTTTAATATTTGTGTTGAGAGTATTATGAATGTATTAATTATATTTTTTAATTAATTTTTATGAAAATAAAAATTAATTTTAATTTTATCAACCCTTTAATTAAATCATACATATGTCATTGATATTGAAATTGAAATTA